AAAACAAAGATGGGATAGGAAATAGCTTCAAACACCTACCTCCTTTGTGGAAGCTACAATTTGGTAGCTTTAGCTTCTAAAGGAATGTATGCCCCAGGGCATTATTGAAAACAATAGAGGAGTGTGGGTAAGTAAGGGAGTGTTACACTTGGGAGTGCTTATTGAAAGACTGGGATGACTGGTGCCACTGTCATTTTAGGATTACCGCGGGCATATTCAAAGCTATGCCTTCCTGAAAAGCAACAGTAGAAGCTTAACACTGCGGGTTGACTGCTGGAGATAGAGTTCATAAAAATAATCCAGCAGCCCTGGCCAGTGTGGTTCAGTGGTAAGTGTCATACTTTGATAGCTCAAATTCTGAAAATAAAATGTATTTTAGTAATATTTTTAAAAAATATATTTTCATTTATTTCAAAGAGGGAGAGAGAGATAAAAACATCACTGATGAGAGAGAATCATTGATCGGCTGCCTCCTACACACACCCTACTGAGGATCGAGCCCAAAAACCTGGGCATGTTCCCTAACCAGGAATCGTACCTTGACCCTCTTGGTTCATAGGTCGACGCTTGACAACTGAGCCACACCAGCCAGGTGATGAAATATATTCTAATAAACACTGCCTTTATAATTATTCAGAGTGTATATACATCTTTGTATATACAAAAGGACACCCTGATTAAGATATCTATGGAAAATCTGTTAATGTTATGCTAAATCGTAAAAGTGTCAATACTTTTTATGTAAGTAAAATCAGGGAAAAGTATGCTTATTCTCTCTACTTCAGCTTTGTTACTTAAGTCCTAACAAGCATATTAAGTCGAGAATATGAAATAAAAGGCAAACAGATTGAAAAGAAAAAAAGCAGATATGAGTACATATGTAGATTGGCTGAAAATAAATGAAAGTGATATAATATGTAAATGCATTGAAATAGTATTCATAAGAAGGCTAGTGAAGCTAATACTGTATTGCTTTGTACAATGGTCCAACCAATTTGGAAAACTGTTGTGTAGTTTCTTCTTTTTTTTAAAATATATTTTATTGATTTTTTACAGAGAGGAAGGGAGAGAGATAGAGAGTTAGAAACATCGATGAGAGAGTAACATCGATTCAGCTGCCAACTGCACATCTTCTACTGGGGATGTGCCCGCAACCCAGGTACATGCCCTTGACCGGAATCGAACCTGGGACCCTTCAGTCCGCAGGCCGACGCTCTATCCACTGAGCCAAACCGATTTCGGCTGTTGTGTAGTTTCTTAAAATTTTAAACATAAAAGCTATCATATGATTGAGCCATTCTATTCCTAAGGTTTTACCCAAGGGAAATTAAAGCAAATCCTATATAATAAAAGGGTAATATGCAAAGTGTCCCCTCGACCGGGAGGTCGACCAGGGGGTGGGGCTGGCCCGCCAACCTCCTGCATCCCCTCCCCTGGTCAGGCCAGCCATCCGGATCCCACCCATGCACGAATTTGTGCACCTGTCCTCTAGTGTGAATTTACAGATTTGCACACATTTTCACTAAGTGGCATGCATTTACTTTTTATCCATATCTTCTATGGCTTGATACATCATTTCTTTTTAGAGCTAAATAATATCCCATTGTCTGAATATACAACAGTTTTTTCATTCATTCACCAACTGAAAGCCATTTTGTTCCTTCCAAGTTTTGGCAATTATGAATAAAACTGCTTGCTATTAACATCCATGTACAGATTTTTGTGTGGACATGCGTTCCCCATTCCTTTAGTTAAATGCCAAGGAGTGCAGTTTCTAGATGGTATGCTACAAGTAAGTTTAGTTTTGTAAGAAATTGCCAAATAGTCTTCCAAAGTGGCTGTACCATTTTGCATTCCCCCCAAAATGAATGAGAGTTCCTATTGCTCCGTATCCTCGTCAGCATTTGATTTTGTCAGTATTCTGTGTTTCGGCCATTCTGCGGGTGTGTAGTGCTGTCTTAATGTTTTAATTTGCATTTCCCCGATGACATATGATGTGCTTATTTGCCAACTATATATCTTCTTTGGTGAGGTGTCTGTTAAGTGCTTTTGCTCATTTTTATTGGGTTGTTTGTTTTATTGTTAAATTTGAAGAGTTTTTTGTATATTTTGGATAATAGTCCTTTATCAGATGTGTCTTTTACAAATATTTTCTCCTAGTCTATGGCTTGTTTTCTAATTTATTGCCTTTCACAGAGAACTTTTTAATAAATCCAAGCTTCTCAATTATTTTATTAATCATGTTTTTGGTGTTATATCTGTAAGAGCATCCCTATACCCAAGAGTATCTAGATTTTTTTCCAGTGCTATATCTAAGAGTTTTATAATTTTGCATTTTATGTTTAGGTCTCTGATCCATTTTGAATTAATTTTTTTGAAGGGTATAAGGTCTTTGTCTAAATTTATTTTGTTTTTGCATGTGGATATCCAGTTGTTTCAACACCATTTGTTGAAGGGACTGCCTTTGCCCTTTCTCAAAGATCATTTGACTTTATTTATGGAGGTCTGTTTCTGAATTCTCTATTCTATAAAATTGATCTGTTTGGGCTATTCTTTCACGAATACTATACTGTTTTGATTACTATAGCTTTATACTAAGTTTTTAACTCAGGTAGCCTCACTCCTCCAACTTTGTTGTTTTCCTATAATACATGTTGGCTATTCTGGATTTTTCACCTCTCCATATAAACTTTAGAATCAATTTGTCAGTATTCACAAATAAATTAATGGGATATTTATTGGGATTGCATTGAATCTATAGATCAAAATCTTCGTCGTTTTTGTTCATCGGAGTTTTATAATTTTCTTCATATAGTCCTAGTGCATATTTTTTAGATTTATACTTAAGTATTTCATTTTGGGGGGTGCTATTGTACATGGTATTATGTTTTTAATTTCAGATTCCACTTGGTCATTGTTGCTATACAGGAAAGCAGTGGACTTTTGTATATTAACTGTGTACCCTGCAACTTTACTATCATCACTCAGTATTAGTTCCAGGAGGTTTTTTTGTTTGATTCTTTTGGATGTTCTACATAGACAATTATGTCATCTTTGAACAAAGATAGTTTTATGTGATCCTTTTCAATCAGTGTATCTTTCATTTCCTTTTCTTGCCTTATTGAAAAGGAGTGGTTAAAGGGGACATCTCTACATTTTACCTGATCTTAGATAGAAAATTAGTTTCACACCATTAAGTATGTTAGCGCGAGGGTTTTATAGAAAGTTGAGAAAGTTTTCCTCTATTCCTACTTTACAGAGGGTTTTAAATCATTACAAGGCATTGGATTTTGTCAGATGCTTATTCTGAATGCATTGATGTGATCATGTAATTTTTTTCTCTTTTAGTCTTTTGAAGTATTGGTTTATAGTAATTGATTTTCAAAAAGCCTTGCATTTCTGGGATAAATCCCCTTTGGAATTGTTAGATTTCATATGATAATATTTTATTTAGGATTTTTAAATTTATGGTTATAAGAGATACTGTTTTGTAGTTTTCTTGTAAGGACTTTGTCTAGTTTTGGTATTAGGATAATTCTGACATCATAGGATGACTTTGGAAGTATCCCCTCTGCTTCTATACCCTGAAAGGGATTGTAAAGAATTGGTATAATATTTAAATGTTTGGTACAGTTCACTAGTGAACACATGTGGGCCTGATAGCTTTTTTAAAATTCCTTTAATATCTACAGTAATCCCCTCTTAGCTGCAGTTTGCTCTCCACAGTTTCAGTTATCCATGGCCTAAAAATTTTAAATGGAAAATTCCAGAAATAAACAATTCATACATTTAAATTGTATGCTGTTCTGAGTAAGGTGATGGAATCTTGAACTGTCCAGCTCCATCCAGCCAGTGATGTGACTCATCCTTTTTTCAGCATATTCGATACCTTCCCATCAGTCACCTAGTACCCCTCTCAGTTATCAGATCTTAGTACTTACATTCAAGTAACTCTGATTTTACTTAATAATGGCCCAAAGTGCAAAGCTTAGGGATGCTGGCAATTTGAATACGCCAAAAAGAAGCCATAAGTTGCTTCCTTTAAGTGAAAAAAGTTATTATGTATTTGTGGGGGAAATCCTTCAGAGGTAGGGTTCAGTACTATATGCATTTCCAGGCATTCACTGGGGTATTGAAGTTTATCCCCTGAAAATGAAAGGGGACTACTGTATAGGCCCATTTAGATCAAGTATCTCTTCCTATGTAAATTTTGGCAGATTGTGTCTTTCAAAAAATTAGTTCATTTCATTGAAATTATCAAATTTGTGGGTATAGACTTATTCATAGTATTCTTTCATTATGCTTTTAATATCAGTGGGATTTATAGTAATGTCTACTCTTTCATTTCTGATATTAGTACTTGTGTATTCTCTTTTTTCTTAGTCTGGCTTATCAATTTTATCGATATTTTAAAATAATTGTTTTCTTAATTTGCTAATATTTATGTCTTTATTCAGTATTTTTAAATATTTCAGTTCTGTTTCTTTTTATCTAGGTTGAAGATTGTAAAAATTTCATTTAAGTGCAAACAGTTTTTTATTCAACTTAGAAAAGAATTGGTGAGTATTTGTCTAATAATTATTAATATAAATGAAGTCTTAAGAAAAGACAGGTCATTCATGGCAACTTTTAGTGCTAATGAAAGTGTTATTAATACTATTGATAACTGCTTCCTGACTTAATTCACATTTTATGACAAGTTGTATTATTTTCCCAGTATTTCTGTGGTTATGATTTAAAGTTGTTCTAATTATCCATTTTGCTATTTTTTAAGCTTAAAAACTGACCTCAGTCATGATGTTTAATATCAGTCCCCAGGTCCATTCATGAGGGCAGTAACTGAGTATTTTATGTGTTCTTTTTCTTTTTACTACTAAATCTGTAGCAGTTTCTTCATATATAAGCTCATTTTATTTTAGGGAACCTGAGTGTTTAGTTTTAGTTCTTGTTCATGAACAGATAGTTCATGCCTCCCTTTTTTTGTAGTGGCAGTGTCCTTTTTATATATTAAGTACAACATTTTGTGTTATCATGGAAAGTAATGTTGGAAAGAACTTCATCTTGTAGTTTTTTTTCTATTTTATGAGATTAGACTAATCTTATTCTTTGATGTATATTATTTCTCGGAAATCTTGACAAATCAATGCAGATTTCAGGATAGTTGTGTTTTGTGGGGATCCCTGTTCGTGGCGTCAGATATGGGGGGGATGGCGTTCTCTCTTCTTGCGACCAGTGCAGAGAGAGAGAACTCCGGGGTTGATGAAATGTTGAATAGAACTTGATGAGGTTTACGGAAAATTGAATAAAACAAGACTGAGACAGAAATAGAGGAAAGCTGGGACCGGGTGTGGCATCTGCTCTTTGATAGATGAACAGGGCCCAGAGCCAGCGCAGCAACTTTTATTTATAGCCAGATACCAGGAAGTTTTACTAAGGGTAAATAAAAGGGGTCATTCTTGTAGCTTCCTTGTAAATAGTCACCTCAGGGTCGGTGGGTGGGTCCAAATTGCATTCATTCCTGGTGCTTGACTAGATTTAGATAAGAACCCACTTCCTGGCACCCGGCTTTGAAGGTCAACTGAGGCATCCCCACCTCTTGGTTAGATATGCCCCCAAGATAAGGCTCTGCCTTCACCATGGGTTCAGTTGACATGAATTTAAAAGATTTAAAAGAAAGCCAGCGCCTTCCCTGGTAGAGGGCCTTCCAGAGTGTATGTGTAAAATATATTCAAGATCTTAAAATTGTATTTGATTCATTTTATCAGAAGATAGTGATCTACTAAGTCACTGTGATCCATCATTTATGCTCACAAAATAAGGAAGTTTTTTCAACAGTTTTATTGAAATGGAAAATTATACAGATATTATGTATAGTGCTTAATAAGTATCCTATCTAATAATAGACAAACATGGTAATTGACCATACCTTTGCTACACCTCCCATGGGCATGATATGTAAATTAACCCAACCAAGATGGCAGCTGGCAGCCATGCAGCTGAAGCAGCAGGAGGCTTGCTTGCTCCAGTTATGGAGGAAGCTAAGGTTCCCTGCCTGCCACGGCCTGGCTCTGAGCTCCAAAAGGAACAAAGGTTCAATTATAGAAGCTAA